AATATAATGGCCCAAGGAGAATTTATCGAAAGCTACGTATGCTCGCCAAATACTCTTCCGAATATTCGCGTTATTCAATGAATGAGGCAGAACTGGCGACCCGACACGTTCACGGTTGACGGAACAGTTATAAGTGAGGACTAGATACGAAATAAACACCGCGGATCCCAAGGAACAGGCTGGTGTGCACCAATTCCAATAGTGATACCGAGATGTTGATGATTAGGGTTTGATACAACAGAAGTCCTGTAAAATATTGCAAAGCACAGGATGACACCGCGATACGATGACCATGAGGCACCAATGAGTGGGTTCACATGCACCGTTGCCTTGTGTTTGGAATCGTAATATAAACTGCTAGAAAAGGCTTTAAAATAAACAACCCAAGAGGTCGACAATAGCCGCTCGTATACTTAGCATTTCAAAGACACCATACGAATATTTAGGGTACGTACTTATCAAAGCTGTATCAAGTAAGCCAAAAATATAAACAATGATTCACAAAGTCATTTGAAAAAGAACGACCGGGGAACAATCTGATATAGCAAAGAGTTTTTTATGGGCTTCGCCAATGGATATAGGAAGACTTATCGGTACATATTTTAAAGCATGTGATTAAAGATGGTCGGGTTGAAAACGTCATGCATTTATTGAAGGCACATGTACAAAGTTCATGGTCGCTGAAAACGAACTGTTAAAATATATTTACATGAACAGGGAAGCCCTGATTCGTTCACATGTCCTTATGACCGCCACGATTGCCGCCGGAACCAATGCGACCGCCGCGCTGTCCAGGTCCCCCACCGCGATGTCCACCTGCAAAGAAAATGAATGTCAAAAACTCAGAAGGCAACATTTCTGGGCTATTATTTTATAAAGAATTCATTCAAGGCAACATGCTGTAAAGATGTCCAAGACGAGGGAAAAGTGGACTCAACTACGTGCACTTATACGCCTCACGGACTGAAAAAATAATTCGTTGTGACACACTACCTATAATTTGGGAAAAAATGTCACTATTAACACGATTAAAGAATCGCGGATTTCTTAATTAACACAATCTAGACCCTTGATTAATCGCCGTAATGTTTTGAAGAGAGGATAAAACTTAAATGACTTAAGTACTTGTTCTAATGCAAATTTTAGTACGAGCAATGCTAATTGTTGAAGTATACATGATTTCCTAGTTTTGGAGGCCAGTTAAGCACATGAAAAGCAACTTAAGCAGTA